CAGTACCATGCCCTCTCACTATGGCAGTATGGTGCCCTCTCACTATGGCAGTATGGTGTTATCACACTGTGGCAGTATGGTGTCCTCTCACTATGGCAGTATGGTGTTCTCACACTGTGGCGGTATGGTGTTCTCACACTGTGGCAGTATGGTGTCCTCTCACTATGGCAGTATGGTGCCCTCGCACTATGGCAGTATCATGCCCTCTCACTATGGCAGTATCATGCCCTCTCACTATGGCAGTATGGTACTATGGCAGTATGGTATCATTGCACTATGGCAGTATGGTACACACGTCTTCAATCATATTTAACAAAAGTTTTGATTGGGACATTGCATGATGATGAGACATGGTCAGTTTACAAAATGGATGTAACTGAGAGAACCAGATCAAAAAGACATATGGTTTTATTTTTGCAAATCATAAGCACAGATTAAACTAAATATTACATAATCACACGTATTACATAACTAGGACAAATTAGTACAGCATACTCTCATGTAGTATTATGGTGCCCTCTCACTATGGCAGTACCATGCCCTCTTACTATGGCAGTATCATGTCCTCTTACTATGGCAGTATGGTGTCCTCTTACTATGGCAGTATGGTGCCCTCTTACTATGGCAGTATGGTGCCCTCTTACTATGGCAGTATCATGTCCTCTTACTATGGCAGTATGGTGTCCTCTTACTATGGCAGTATGGTGCCCTCTTACTATGGCAGTATGGTGCCCTCTTACTATGGCAGTATCGTGCCCTCTCACTATGGCAGTATCGTGCCCTCTCACTATGGCAGTATCGTGTCCTCTCACTATGGCAGTATGGTGCCCTCGCACTATGGCAGTATGGTGCCCTCACACTAGGGCAGTATGGTGCCCTCGCACTAGGGCAGTATGGTGCCCTCGCACTAGGGCAGTATGGTAACCTCGCACTGTAGTAGTATGGTGCCCTCGCACTGTGGTAGTATGGTGCCCTCGCACTGTGGTAGTATGGTGCCCTCGCACTACGGCAGTATGGTGCCCTCTCACTATGGCAGTATGGTGCCCTCTCACTATGGCAGTATGGTGTTATCACACTGTGGCAGTATGGTGTCCTCTCACTATGGCAGTATGGTGTTCTCACACTGTGGCAGTATGGTGTCCTCTCACTATGGCAGTATGGTGCCCTCGCACTATGGCAGTATCATGCCCTCTCACTATGGCAGTATCATGCCCTCTCACTATGGCAGTATGGTACCATTGCACTATGGCAGTATGGTACCCTCTCACTATGGCAGTATGGTGCCCTCTCACTATGGCAGTATGGTGCCCTCTCACTATGGCAGTATGGTGCCCTCTCACTATGGCAGTATGGTGCCCTCTCACTATGGCAGTATGGTGCCCTCGCACTATGGCAGTATGGTGCCCTCGCACTATGGCAGTATGGTGCCCTCGCACTAAGGAAGTATGGTACCCTCGCACTGTGGTAGTATGGTGCCCTCACACTGGTAGTATGGTGCCCTCTCACTACAGCAGTATGGTACCCTCACACTATGGCAGTATGGTACCTTCACACTGTGGTAGTATGGTGCCATCCCACTATGGCAGTATGATGCCCTCAAACTATGGCAGTATGGTGCCCTCGCACTGTGGCTGTATGGTTCCCTCATAGTAGGGTATTATGGTGCCCTCGTAGTATGCCCTCTTGTGGAACTGCAATGCCCTCGGGTGGAACAGCTATGCCCTCGGGGGAAACTGAGATGCCCTCAAGTGCAACTGTGATGCCCTTGAGTGAAACTGCTATGCCCTCGGGTGGAACTGCTATGCCCTCGGGTGGAACTGCTATGCCCTCAGGTGGAACTGCTATGCCCTCAGGTGGAACTGCTATGCCCTCAGGTGGAACTGTGATGCCCTCGGGTGGAACTGTGATGCCCTCGGGTGGAACTGTGATGCCCTCTGGTGGAACTGTGATGCCCTCTGGTGGAACTGTGATGCCCTCTGGTGGAACTGTGATGCCCTCTGGTGGAACTGTGATTCCCTCTGGTGGAACTGTGATGCCCTCTGGTGGAACTGTGATGCCCTCAGTGAAACTGTGATGCCCTCGGTGAAACTGTGATGCCCTCGGTGAAACTGTGATGCCCTAGGTGAAACTGTGATACCCGTGGTGAAACTGTGATGCCCTCGGTGAAACTGCAATGCCTTCAGAGAAAATGTGATGCCCTTGGGTGGGCTGGTGATGACCTTCGTGTGGAACTATAGTGTCCTTATGTTGCAATATGATATGCCCTCATGAAGAATTAAGTGGCATTATTATAGCGCCATCTTGTGATAGCATTATGCCTTTACATGGTATTATGATCCACTGCTATCATTCAATAAAATATGTAGCTCAGATTGAACCATACACACAAAAGAAAAAGGTCACACATGGTACAAATAGAGGAAACAGCTGAACAATATGTCATCAGGACAGGAAATGAATTTCATGTACACATGTAAATTATAATGACTGTCTCAATTGCAGGTCAGACTCCATCTAATATATCTAATTATAAAGTTATTCTCTGGTGGTATTTCCATCTTAAAATACGAGACGAATAATATTGTCAAAAAATCTATAAATTAGAAATGTAATAGATACATGTATCAATGCTGTTGGCATATTCCATTGCTTCACAACTGACGAATTGTCATGTTTTTTTTTTCTGATTTACGTACCATTGCAGAAGTTTGCATTTTATTCTCCTGTCATTTGAACCCGATTGCATATTTTGCAGGGTGGAGCACACAGTGTATGTACAATGTACACATGATCGTAACCACCGTCCAAAGAGGGACGGTGTCGTAACTAATCATAAGGTTCTTTAAATTCACAGAATTTATGTAAGACAATAAGTTCTGTAATTGTTATTTGACATGATTGTTCATATGGTGATGTTTTTAATAAGTCAAAATGGTGAAAATAAAATGAAAAAATAACAAGTTTTGAAGTAAACCTTAATTCAATTTCTTTTCCAGGCATTTCCCATAATGCAGTGCAGTAACAATACTTAAGTTAAGATGCCCCCTTCATCTCACTTCTACATGTATCTCTTCCAAAAAAAAAAACAATAAAGACCCCCTCCCCCAAATATGAGGGGACGTCTTTGTTAATTTGAGTTCCAGAAAAATAAAAGAGTTTGTATTGTAGCCCAAAGCCCTCAACTCTTAACCCCTTATCTACTCCTACCCTCTAGGATTCCCCAATTCAATTATAAATGTCCCTCATAAAGATACCTATAGTTCCCATAGGGGAATATGCATAATTGAATTTGAGGGGTTTACTGGGGTTAGGGTTATCAAATGAATATTTTGTGTAGGCAGATCTGAGTATCAAAACACTGCTGAGAAGAAGGTAATAAACATTAATTAAGTTTGGAAGGCTTATAAATTTTAATTATGCTAATTGTGTACACATTAATTTGAATCTGGTAATTCTAATTATAGTTTTTAATATATTATGTATCCAGTGTGTGTAAAAATTTCATATTATTCATGGCATTTGAAGAAAAAAATGAGTTTTATATGGCCAAGGCAATTTTTGGATTATATGCACTTATATTTAGGATGCGTTTCTAATATATGAAATACGGTATGTAGAATTGGGAGGGAGTAGTTGATTTATACATGTATATGTAGCACTGCACTGATGAAACTATTAAAAAAAAAATACAATACAAATATACCTTATAAATCAGCCAGAACCTATTTGAATCCTATGTGACTTTTAACCATTCTAGGAATTCCAGTGTTGACTTTCATCTTGTTAATTCACCACAAATGCATTAGGGAATGAACCAATGTAATAAAAGTATTGCTAATGCAGCTACTTTGTACTTGACATCCATGAGAAGATAAGGAATTGTAACAAAATTATGTTAGCCTAATTGACTTTACTTAGCCATTTAAATTTTTTCAAAGAGGCGATTCAATTACCCTGTCCGGAAGAAAGGCCAATTTATTTCACCAATGTTATTATTGTTAAAGCTCTCATGAAAATTGGTAAGACTTTATTTAGTCAATGCCCTTATTACTCACGGTAGAACAATCGATGCAAAAAATCAAATTTGAAGACAAATTGAGCAGACGTGAAAGCTGAAAAATGGTGAACTGCTGGGTAAACTACTGTAAAATGTACTGGGAAATAAAATTGCAAGTATTCTAAAATAAAATCATAAAATTTTTTTTCCAAAAATAGGTTTTACTGTTTATGTACAATATATCTATTTTCCAATGTACATGTACCTCCATGATATGTATAAGAAGCTACATAATAATTTACAGCATATACATTGGTCACAGTAATGCCATAATTTAGTTACAGCGTTTCATAATTTTGCTGTATTGCACTGGATATTTTCATCCTACCATATTAGTAAATGCATTCCCATTATATGAATTCCTGGGAAAAAAAAGATATTTCTAATAATAAGGTTATTATGAGGATACTGCAAAGTACACATTCAGACTATACGCAGTCCCATCAACGTCAGCTGTGCAATGGTCGATACTCCCGCTGTACTGTCTTTGTGCATACGTTGTGTGGTGTACTCATAATAACCTCACAGTATTCATCAATATTGATCTTGGTTGGCTTAATTTTTTTAATTTTAATTTAATATATTCTATTATCATTATTATTAAGTATTTTAATATTTGTTTTCACAATAAATTTTCTGCACCAGTGGCTTTCACAAACAAAACCTCTAAAAACAATTCTTGTAGCAAAATAGTTGTAACGTCAAAAATAATTATAGTACCTATATAAAAAAAAATATTAAAAAAATAAGCCAACCAGGATCTTATTTTAATCTGATTGAGTACTCATTGCAGTCAATAAAACCATGTGTATATGGATATGAAGGCGAAAGGAAGACCTTAGTTTATAATAATTTGAAATACTAAACATAAGCTTTCATTCAAATATTTTATTTAAAATAATGATTTGCTCAAGGGCTCAATATTGTCTACGTCCATAATGTGTGTACATGCATTCAGGTGAAATTTTAACTGTGATCATGCACCGGGCTATTCAAAATGGAGTGAGCAAATAACACTGAATAAACGGCATGGTAAATACTATGTCAAATCAAAATAATCACATACTGCAAGTGTGACTCGTACCGGCACTCACGTACATTATGAGTTTACAATTATTCAAAATGGAGTTCATGCTGGTTAGGTAATGTTGAACATACTAATTATATTAAAGTGGGGGAGTCGTCACCTGCACATGCGTCGGATGGTCATAGCATGTCACTGTTTACAAACAAGCGTCTACCCATGAGCCTTTGCGTTTTTAGCGTAGTTTGGGACTCAAATCCCACATGTGTGCGCAGGTGACGACCCTCTCGCTTTAAGACAATACAAATTCTGGATTGGACAATTTTAATTTTGTTTTTAAAAAGAAAAAAAATATTTATAAAATGCTTGTGATGACTCTCTACCCACCACTGTATAAATATCATATATTAAATATTAATAAACCTAACTATTCTTATTTTAAATCACTTTTATTCAGATCAAAACAATTAGCTAGACAGGTGCTTCCCTTCATTTCATGAAGTGATAACACATCATCAGCCAAAGACCATTTAGTGATTAATCAACACTTCCCCACCACATCAGCAAGCATTAATCCTTAAATCTATGACGACAACAACAAGCTTGTACATTCTGTATGCTAACTACCACAGTGTTCTCACCGGTAATTAAATGCACTGAATGGGATTATTCCATCAATTTAATAGATAGTATGAGACAATTGCCTATCCATGTGGAAATACAGGCAGAAACAGAAGTACTGTGGAATACTTTATTTTCGCTGGAAAATTATTTTCGCTGAAAAGGCTTTTCGGGCGTTTTGCTGGGAATTAATTTTCACTGATTTTTGATGAGTTTAATGTGATATATAAAAAAAAAAATATATTCGCTTGATTTTATATTCACTGAATCATCCTTTCAGCGAAAATAGCAAAAATAAAGTATTCTACAGTATTTTGTTCCTCTTATAGTGGAGACTGTGTACTCAAATGTTTAAATTTTATTCTACTTGTATTTTCTTACATTTTTGTGAGACAATTCTCATGAGAGTAAAAAACCTGGGACAAAAAATTAAACCATGATGCAAAGGTTTCATGTCTCATGCCTGGTGAGAACACTGCTACCATTCGAGTTTACAAATATTCAGATTTACAAGTAAAATTGTACGAGGCTTTGTTATAACTCCAGTGTATATTCAAGCAAAATTACCATCTCTGAATGAAGTTGCTCAAATAAAAAATATCTCTATCATTTATATTAAAATGCATGCACACCTAACAGGGCAAACATGAAAGCTTATTTCCTGTAAGTTTAATACCCAGTATATGTCTCTTGAATGAATAATACACAAATAATACTAAAGAGAATATTTGATGGATGGTGCTGCAAGTGAGATCAGGATGTGCTAACAAATTTTAAAACACCTGTCATTAGCTTTATAGCTGTATTTATTTTTGATATTTATTGAACGTCAATAAAAAGGTGAGAAAAGGTGACAAGCATTTCTTCACATAGAACACAATGTAATATAGAATATCAAACATACTAAGACTATAACAACAGTACAGCAGGAGTATCGACCATTGCACAGCGGAGGGCGATGAGACTATGTACTGTCTGAGTGCATACTTTGCAGTAACCTCGTAATAACCCTATTATTATACATTTTTACCTCCCAGGTATACATCATGGGAATGCAGAAATCCATATTAAACTATAATGACGAACCTCTCAGTTAATGCAGCAGTGTATACAATGGAATTTAGTACCCAAAATAAATGTCATCAGGTGTATGTATACAAGTGTATTTTGCTAGAAATTAGAACTGAATCTCTCCTTTCAAAACCATCATATATTTGAATTC